TAGTTGACAGTGGCCAGTGGCCAGTTGCATTACATTTTATCTATATTTTTATATTCATGGAACATTTTTGTATTTTTTTATATTAATTTACTTACTTTGTCAACAATATTTTCTCTATGGACAAAAAATATTATCAACATCAAATGAATAAAAAATAGCAATGGAAATTTTACACGAAAATATGAAGATAATGCAAAGAATTTTTCCAGACAAAACAAAAGTCTATCGAAACATCTTTGGAATTTCCCTCATTACATGTAAATGGAGAAATAGACAACCCAAAGCTTTTCCTCATTGCTCAGAATTATCCCAGTTATTCAATTTTTTTTCAGTATAAATTCGTCTTTATTTCAGGTCCAAATTCTTCATACGAAGACAGTGACACAGAATCGGAACCAGGTATTCCTCTGAAGAGAAAACAGAGGCGTTCCAGAACAACATTTACAGGCGAGCAATTGGAGGCTCTCGAACGTGCCTTTGGTAGAACTCAATATCCAGATGTCTATACACGAGAGGAACTCGCTCAGAAAACGAAACTCACCGAGGCAAGAGTACAAGTGTGGTTCTCCAATCGTCGAGCTAGGTTGAGAAAGCAGTTGAACTCACAACAACTCAATGCTTTCAACACTATGTCTTTACAGTCCGCATTTCCCGCGGTGCAGCAGCACTATCCCGAAAGCGCTTTTAATCAGAGCAGCTGGACGCAACAAAGTTATGCTTCAGCTGCTTTGGGATCAAGTCCTCTGGCTAGTACACTGCCTTCTAGTACCTTACCGCACTCGCTCACCGCTGGTAGAGCGACTGCAAGTTCAGGCTCTCCGGGGCAGAATGCTCTCTACAACTCCTACAGTAGCGGTCCCGGCTTGGAACAAGGTGGCTCGTTGACCGGTGCTAACCAGTTTGGCTACAATATGAGCCAGATTTCTCCCAATCAACACAGCGTTTCTCCTCAACAGAGTGCAGTATGGGCACGACACTCGCAGAATACCAAAGTCCCAGATAACCTGTCAGCACCTTGGCATGATAATTATAGGTAAGTTGAATTCTTATATCATTTCCATATTATTCTTTTAGCACTTTGACAGTTTTTTCGATCCATATCTTTCACATAGACAACAAATTGTTAAAACGGAGAACCATATGAGATTTCAAGAACATATCTTCGGGAGTTCCTCAGGGTTCAATCCTTGGACCTATCCTCCACATAATTTAACTCTATCTGTAGAGTAGAGAGAGTGAGTGTAGGTCCACAGCACTCAGGCCACGTGTGACCCATTGTACATCCTCCCGAGAAGTTGTCCTCCTAGGTCATCGTCCATCCTGTCCTTTCCAGAAAGGTGGACATGTCACTAGGGGATATCTCCTTTACATCGGTAGATGTGGGCCAAGACTTGTTACGTTTCAATTTAGCACTAGATCAAAACTGCTCCTTTCAAAACACTACCTTGCCTTTTAAGATCTTTATTCAGAGGATGTTAACAATGTAATTCAGTTACAAGTTGATTTTATTCAATTAACATCATAGTAATGGGAATCCTCCGTTCCATAGAAAACCATACCTGAAATGTACAAGAATATATGTATGCTCCCTGACTAACTGCTTTGATCAGTACCTATCATTTTTCAGCCGTTGTCTGCCTTATTCTCTATACCTTTCCAAGAATATTTTTGCATAGATTGTTATTCATCACTTCCAGAAAGATTACTACATATTAGAGCCACATCGCCTGAAAAACAATATTAGCTCTGGGTTTCTGAACACTGTTTGATATTTTCGGTAAATATTCTGCATAATATGAATGTTCAAATATTCGTACTGAATGGAAAAGATGTGGCGACGTACCTTATATGTGTCTATTCCATGGCATGAATAAGGATCGGTAAATAGTTAAAAAAAGGTTGAAGTCAATATTTTTGTAAACATTCAATAACAAGGTTAAGAGACAACTGTTGGTTGACATCCGCCGAACTTTCGTAGTGTCGTTCCGACGACCTACACCGAACTAGTTCTATAGTTGTTCACGGGTGAGGGATTGATCAGTTAATCAAATTGTTAAGGGTTGTTTTAGGGTTGCATTGCTTTGAGAAGAAGTTTCGATGGGTCATGGACTTGTTGATGATGTCTCGAGTAGCTGTGGAGGAATTGATAGACTTATGATGCTATGCACAGCGCCCCCTTGGTGCTTGTAGTGTAGATTGGACACACTGTGGCAACAACTGGTTAGCTGTCAGACGTGGCAGTCTCTCGGGATTTCGGGGGTGACCTTCGTTGAGCTTGGTTGAGAGTTCAAGTGTACCAACTGACTGATTTGTAGGATACATATGGTTGTATTTGTGCCATCCTTCACGGGGATTATTTCTACAAGTCAGGATTGTATAGTGGAAGACTGGTTAGTCATTTTGGTGTGGATATTTGCAGTCTGAAACTTAATCTCTTTTGAGGATTTGTGGTGGTTACCGAACTCATTGTACCAGGTGGAAGGATTTCCGAAATCAGATTCATAAGGAACAGAAGGCTCTTAGTCACTCATCAAGTCCCAGTAGGACTTCCGTGCAGAGCACCGCACACAAAGAAACGTATAGAAAACCCGTTGGCCAGGGGTTTTATTTTTTTTTCTGGGGTGTAGAACACCTTGTTGACAAACTCTCCGGACTTGGAGGTGTTCAGCTACCTTTGGGGTCCTATTCGGTGATCCATTACTGGTCCATCCTTTTGTGCCCTACAGGGTGATCTATCTTGGTGGTGGTGATTGCCTTTCTGGCTGAATTTACTGCTAGTTGATAACGTATTTAGTTTCATTTGTAAAACGCAAATTGAGGTATTTACTTCCTTTTACAATTGCTTGTTGACACCGATGCGCCTACGCCTGAGCTCACGCGACGCAAACGAGATTGTCTTACCTTCCATACTAGTATTTACGATTTTGGCCACACCTACTCAATTTTTGTGGTAGTTTTACTTGGCATATTGTAGTTTCTTTTAAGCATCGTAACTACCATAATTTATGGCTGATTGAATTTGTGGCTATATACACCGCGCTCAAGGACCTCTGTATTGACATCTGAATATCGCGTAGTAGTTGAATATCGCATTGTTGTTTTAGAAGCGTTGTCGGTTAATCCATGTGAGTTAGGATTACTGAATAAATCATATTGGGGATCTTTATCTTTTATTTCCAATATTAATTGGTGAGTTATTGATATTGTAAGTTACTTGGGGTATCTGGAGGATTGAATTTACCTGGCGCCCATTAAGATCTATTTGAAATTTGCTAATTTGTTTAACCCACTCCCGTCTCCACTGTTTAGCTCAGCCGCGGATACCCATCTGTCTTATTTGTTACCGACAGATGATTTAGTCTCCTCTTGTGGTTTGTGAGGTGACAGACTCGCCGAACACACACTCTTTTATTGACGATAACTCTGGACACTCGCATAGGACATGCCTGACAGTTTCATCTTCCTGTTCACACATGATGCATAGAGGTGTGCCCACTAGCCCCATATTATGGAGGTGTTTTCTTAGTTGACAGTGGCCAGTGGCCAGATATTTCTTTGGCGCCAGCTTACCAGGGTCGCCCAGGGTGATCCTGGCAAGATTGCATCCTTGTATTTCATCCCATCTCTTTAGGGATTGAACATGGGTGTGACGTTTGGCTAGTTCCATAATTGTCGAAGTCATCAGGCCGTGTATGTTACTGAGTCCTAAAATTCTTAGTACAGCCGCTTCTTCGGCTAAAGAGTCGGCAATGCAATTACCTTTACTCCTGTCGTGCCCTTTAACCCACCTCAGGATAATGTTATTATCTACCGAGGCTTTGGCTGAATCTTGGTGGCACTCTACTCGTAGCCCTGAGGTAACACGTTGTCTGTTCAAGGCTAATAGGGCTTGTATACTATCAGTGCAGATTGTTATGTTTTTGCTAGAAATTCCTTTCCTGGTTATTTCTTTTGAGGCGATTGAGATACCAGCCAGTTCTGTTTGGACCACGCTGGTATTTTTCCCCATTCCCCACTCAATCCTTATCTCCGATTCTTATAAGAATTTGACAGATATTCTGAAGTACGCATTGTTAAAAAAGTATCCAATATAATTGTAATAATGGCTCAATATTCTGCATATAGTGGCTACCACATAAGAGCTAGATATATGCTATCGCGGACTTTTATTAAGAACTATTCAAGATAAACAATCTTACGGTACTTTATCTTTATGTAACTTCAACGGTATAGGCAGAGTACGCCAAGAGAGTAAGAATTGTTCCGACTTACCTAATATCTATCGTTATATTATGACCAAAATTACACAAAACCTTTGGAATTGTGGCTTATATTTTATTCTGGTGTACAAACTGAATTTATGTGGAGTTTCATCTAAATCCGTTCAGTCGTTTAGAGCGACAAACATACATACATACATCCTCACAAACTTTTTAATTTATAATATTCAGTATAGATTATCTATAATAACCGATTCGGTGGCACTTAACTGGGTTATTATGGAAGCTTTGGGTATCGCAAAGTTTCAAAAACCATCAAGTAACTTTGGACTTCTATTTCAGATGTTTTGTTCAACTCTGCTTTGCTCTAACCTGAATTTTTTACTTCTGACCAACCTTTTCACAACAGAAATACAATTCATGAAAAGATACCAAAACAGTTGAAAAAATATTCGAATCTGATATCAATGAATACGAGAACAAAAAAACTAATAATCTTAAAACTACAAAAAATCTATCAACATTCATATACGGATATGTTTAATGCAAGTGAACAAAGTTCTATTTCTTGACGTTATGGTTTGGACACCAATTGAAATTTTCAAATATTACTAATGCACTGGACACTGTGTGCCCAGATGCTTTCCAAAATAAACAGAACTTCCAATTGCTCATTTACAATTATGAAAGCATGTGATGGAAATCATCGTTTAGAGTTTCTAAAGGAAGAGTAGAAACTGTCAGTCTACTCTTCAAGGAGATGAAGAATGTGTTGATTTCTAAGATTATCATATTTTCAAACGGATTTTCACCCAACTTCGATGGACTTGAACTCTTTCATTAAATTGCTTCTTTCCGTTAGTCAGGAACTCGTTTTTCTTTTCCAGTATGTTCACTGTTTTCATCAATTTCATCAAATAGATATCGAATTTGAACCGTAGCTTATAGCATTTTCTTTAACCATGCATTATTCCATCCTTATCAAATGCTATTTCTTTCAAGGTGTAGCTTATGTTTCACTTGGTCAACTTGAACCATATTCAACTTACAATACCTAGTCATGAACTAAAGCGAGTTATACTAATATTTTTTATTCAAATGATAGATTTACATCATATAGATAACCAGGTGTTCATGTTTTTCATATGTGGACCGTAATAATGCTCCATCATACTCTGAAAAGGACAAAAGGAATTAGTGGTGTTGTAGAATATATATTATGTCTTTTACCTACCTTTAAGATGTCATATAATTGTACTCTATCATGCAGAACTCACAAAGCAGTCGGAATGCGCTGTAGGTCGATTTTCGAGAAGTTTTTTTAAATGAAAAAGAAAGCCCTTTTTTTTGGATTGTCGGCGTGACTTCGGAGTGGCGAGTCATAACACTGATTTTCTTTGTGAAATTTTTCTTTTGCGATGAGGATATGCTCACATAGATTGTGATTTTGGTGTTTAGTTTGCTTCTGTTGACACCAAGTTTACCCTCTAGTAATTTCAGTATTTAAATCTTGCAAGCTTCCCTTCGCCATTTTGCCTTTTTTCTGGTATGTAGAAATTTGGAGGCTTGATGCTCTTTACTCACTCTAATTTGAGGAGAAAAAATCCATTCCTGGAGTTTCCTTTTCTAGTCTGATTTCAAGAAGTCCAGCAGGGGTACCACGAGGACCTGTTCAACAGCTTCCTGTTGCAATTGAACAGTATAAGTACTTTCAACCGTAGCAGTATCCCAAACTCCGTATCCCAGATTCTATGAAGTGTTCAGAAGGCAGGTGCTCAGACATGCCCAATGTCGCCAGACCAAGAGCTGCTGT